AGTATATAGATAATTCAGTGATGTAAGAAGTATATCAAAGGAGAGATTGTTCGAATGGAGCACCTAATGCTAACAATAACAAAATACAAACCTTTGCAAATTAAGTACACTATATTACACGGAAAACGGGATATGTTATATACGATCAGTTACAATTGAAATCCTCCAAAATATCAAAAACCAAATTCTGCCAACCGAAATACCATGACTGATGGACGATTGGTCGTTTATTTATCTAGGTATTGGAAGCCTGTGATGATCTTAATTCAGTCAAATTGTAGGGGTCTGATTTTTTCAAAGAATAATGTAAAAATCGATTGTTGTAAAGCTCAGTGTTTAACTCCGTCTGGGGTTACTGCCGGTCCCAAGCCCAGTTAAAGGAGGAGGGCTGTACATGGAGTTAGCGATCCTATCACGTAAAAAACTAACTCGCTAAAATAACGCTAACCAGGAAAAATAATTCGAACCATTTGAACTCTGCCCTGAGAGTTATAAGGTCTTGATTCAGAAGAGTTATGACGTATCATGATGAAAGCCTAGTTCCTTCGGAAGTCATGAGGCCGATGGCCCTCCTGAAAATCAGAGCAACCATTAATTTAGGTACATGGAATTTTCGTACAATGTGGGAGACCGGGAGAGTCATCCAAATTGCTGCAGAAATGAAAAGATACGGACCTGTAGGTGCTTGGAATCAGTGAAACTAATTGGACGCGGGTTGGACAAAAAAGACTAGCTTCAGTAGAGATGCTGTTCTACTCCGGTCACGAAAAAGAAACTGCCTCACATACACAAGGAGTTGCACTGGTGCTGTTTAAAGAAGCACAAAAAGCACTGGTAGGATGGGAATCTTATCGACCCAGGATCATTAAAGCCTCCTTCAAAACAATGAATGAACGTCATATAGTGCTATGCGCACCCTAACGATAACAGTGAGAATGTCCAAGATCAAATTTATGAGAGCCTGCAGTCAATCGTCGACAAATGCTCATCGAAGGATTTGAACATTCTGATGGCAGACCTAAACGACAAGGTTGGCATGGAAAACACTGGATATGAAGATATCATGTGACGACGTGAACTGGGAGAACGGAAAGAAAACGGTGATATTGGCGAACCTTTCTGCCTTCAATAAACTGGTCATCGAAGGCACCATATTCGCACACAAACGCATACACAGCGCTACATGTGTAGTGAAGGAGAACACAGGTGGGGCAACCGAATTTTAGTTAACGAAAATTACAGAGTTACTCAGCAAAATCGGAAAACCATATCGTAAATCGTTCATTTGCAAAATATCAGTTCATCATATCGAACTGGACTGTTCCTGTTGCAAAACATCAATCCATTGTCACTATTCATGCGTTTCATACAAATTCCCTTGTTTTCTAACTCTTCCTTTCTTGATCTTCCCCCATCTTCGGCTGCCAGACATTATGTTGACGCTCAGGTCATATACTACTTATAAGTAGCTCGCACCACACATGGACTTCACTGGATCACGCTACTCACAATCAAATTGACCATATATGTATCAATAAAAAGTTCAAGAGGACGATGTGGGACGTGAGAATCAAGAAAGGAGCTGATATAACCTCAGATAACTACTTGCTGGTCGCGAAAATGAAATTGAAACTCAAGAAGCACTGGACAACGGCACAGACATCACAGAAGTTTAATACGGCCTTGCTTCAGCATACTGGCAAACTCAATGAATTCAACTTAGTTCTTAGCAATAGGTTCCAGGCCTTTCAAGATCTACTCAATAGAGAGGAAATTAACATGGAGAACAACTGGAAAGGGACCAAGGAAGCAATAACTTCAACATGTTATGAAGTTCTGGTCCACAAGAAGCACTATCACAAGGAATGGATCTCTGTTGGTACTCTTGAAAAAATTCAAGAAAGGAGGAAGAAACTTTGAAGGATATGAAAACTTTTATACATCTGAGCAGCGTCACTGATTAGCAAGGTGGATCTGATATAGATATGAAGGCACGGACTGGTAAAGCAAGGACAGCATTTATATAAATGAAGGACATCTGCAACTCAAAACAACTATCAACCAACACCGAAATCAGAATTTTCAATACAAATGTCAAGAGAGTTCTACTGTATGGAGCGGAAACCGGGAGAACCATTAAGACCATTATCATCCAGAAGATAGAAGTATTGATTGGCAGTTGTCTATACGAGGTACTCAGAATTCGTTTGCCAGACACTATCAACAACAAACTGATGTGGGATAGAACAAACCAGATAAAGTCAGGAAGAAGCACTGGAGGTATATAGGATGCACGTTGAGGAAAGCACCCAACTGCATCACAAAACAAAACCTCAATTGGAATCTTCAATTACAAAGAGGAAAAGTGGAAGACCAAAGAACACATTACACCGAGTACTGGAGACATACATGAGAAGAATAAACAACAATTGGAGAGAACTAGGAAAGAAGGCCCAGGACAGAGAAGGTTGAAGAACGCTGGTCGGTATCCAATATTGCATGAAGGGTAACAAACGTAGGTAAAGTGAAAGTAAAAAAAAGACGCGCGGTGTTCAAAAGCTAGTACTGGAAGGTATTTTTCTACGCACGGCCTGGTTATTTATGCGAAAAGACGAAGAGTGAGGAAGTTTATTTAGCTATATATATATATATATATATATATATATATATATATATATATATATATATATATCACAGGAAGCTAAGATTATCACTGGTTTATTTAATCCTCAGGAGAAGAAAGCCGCTTCTTAGCTAATCGAGTGTACTTATAAGTTAAATACTTTTGATCGGCTTGCTGTCTCCCTACTCCACAAATGTATGTCATAACATGAAAGCGTGAGCGAGAGATGTTTAGATATATTAAACACGTAATTAGTCACTTTTTGTGAAAGTGATCATACTGTGCAATGCTGTTTTAGAAAATTTGATGAGTTAATTACTTTTTCTGAATGATCGGAGTTTTTACAGTTGGATATATGTACTTTGAATTAATTTTCAGCACCCTTAAAACCATGAAATAAAAGTGTACATAGACTTCGAAAACCAAAATCAATTTACATAGAGATAAACAATTAAGCAATAGCATTATGCTTAACTTACTCCTGTTATCTCTAAGTAACGAGCTTTCTTCCAATCATGAATACTGTCTAATACATATGGTATACCGCTTAAAATAACCATAGTTATTGGTACTCCAAGATATATTGTCACCCGAAATCCTTCACGTAACCAATGTCTTAGTGCCTTTTAAAAAAAAAAATTTAGTAAACCAAGAATTAGACAAGCATATTATTAAATTAGTGAATTAGCATGATGCATAGAAAAAGCAAACATTTACACGTCATTCACATACTCCACTGATTGCAAATCATGGGATTAGTCGAACGATTATGCGTTTAGTACCAATTTCATTTCGTTGTTAAGGCGATATTGTGCTGTTAATGAGTTTACCAGTAGTAGGTGAGAATAAACTGCCTATTGTTCAGATGTTATCAAGAATAATTAGAATTCTGATACATCTTTAACATTATATTGTCAAATTGGACCATATGTTTGAAGGGCTAATCAATAAACATTTTTGTTTATATTCTGCTCTGTAAAATATCATTTCTTATAATTTATATGCTTCACAATCGTTTGTCAAAGTAATTCTTCTATTTAAATGAATAATTTATCAAAAACTGAATATATTTCTACTTATTTGGCTAGTGATTTACTTCCTGAATTAGGAATATCATCACTCAGTGAGCAACTTGAATTTGGTTGTGAAGTAAAGCGATCAGTAATAACTCAGTGAACATTTTAAAGTGCCACTCATAATGATATCACGAAAAGTAGCACCTAATACAATAAGACTACGTTCAAAGATTAGTGTAATACATAGAAAAGGTGAATCTATGCAGCTGTAACCTACTTCCAGCTACTCATCCCCACCAACCATGAATCGAATTCCACAATTCCTAATAAAGATCCGGTCAATCATATCTAAACAAACTGATGTTGCTTTACCTGACAGTATTTAAATCTTTTTCCAACCTATGTTAAACAATTTAGTGCATCACAACAGATGGTGGGTGGAGTATGTGAGACAATTAGCAGCTACCATAATCTGTTAAGGGTTGGTAAAATCAAATAATCTACCATCTTAATCGATTAATTTACGTTTACAGTAAATTCTTGGTTAGAAAGTGAGTTGGTGTTTCATCAAAGACATATAGGACCAACCAACTACAATTTATAAGTTTAGAGACTAAGCTGTACACGGAGTGAAATGCTGTGCATTACAGTCGCCTTCTGACAGAGAGATGAGTAGTTCTGTGCTTCAGGTGGAGTAGCTCAGATAAAATCAAATGAACATTTTAAAGCAATGTAAAGTTTTTTTTCAGTCACTAGGCCGACTAAAGTTAACTAAATATGCAATATGGGCTAAATAATTGACATCAAAAACTATCTCACTTTTAATAGTTAAACTAGACATCTATCCAAATTTCACTCAATACTATTTAACATAATGGGTGGTAACACATACGTTGTTATTTGCATGAAAACTCCATCAGCTAAAATACACTAGCAAAACAAACCTCTTTTAAGTGAATTTATCAATTCAGAAAGGATTAGATCATAAGATGCTGGGAATGAGTGCCAGTTCTATACAACATACACAATAAACGATCTAAACCATATGTAAGCACGGTCAGCTTCTAATTTACACAAACTACTAAGAATTTTATAAATATCTTTATTTTAATGTCTTCTATTATTCACTGCTTAGACGAATATTCAATTTTAAAAATGTATCGCACCTTACGTAAGCATTGGATAAAATTTTGATACGTGAAATGACAAGTTTATGTAACTAAAAGTGTTGACAAAATTACAGGTAAACCGAAATTCTAACACATTTCAAGTATGCCGACAACAAAGCGAAAAGCACATTTCACAATTCTCCAAAAACAAATTCAATTCAACAGAACAAGAAAAAAATTGAATTTCAATATCTTGGTATAGTGTGCATTTATTTACATTAAATACAAAAATGTATACAGATATATGTATATATGTACAAATTTCATAGTTTTTTTTTAAGAGAAAATATACATACGGAAAATAACAAACATATCACAGTAGAACTATGCAGATCCAATAGACATAGGTATCCATTTTCTCAACAATTCATCCGTGTACAAATCATCAACGAGGCTGCATAGGTCCATTTTAATTTTCTATTATTATTATTATTATTATCGTTATTATGCAACAACAAAAGAGTTATGAAAACAATTGATAAACATTAGGAAAAAATGTATAAATAATTAGGAAAACATAATGGGAATATCTAAAGAAAATGCATGAAAAGAATAAAATCATAATAATTAGGCTTAGTGTATTGACTGATGCGATAATTCCATACAGTCCGGTATTGATGAAATCGAAAAACTTCACAATGTAATAAACCATTATCATTTCCGTTTTGTAAAATAAGAGGGACAGATAACTAACTGTTGGATAACATCAGTCAGTTTTATATGAAGTGCTATGTATGTGGTTAGTAGGTAGATTGATTAGAAAATCCCAATGAGAATAGACTTCAAGGTGTCTGTTTATTGAAAAATAAAGTAATTATCACCGAATATCAGTAGTTATTATAATCCTGTTGGTTGATAACTCGATGCAAAGATTATTCACTTCATGAAATGTTGTATCAAGGTATTTTTTTACTATGAATTTTAAATATAAGCGTTTCTCATGTTGCAAGTTGGTTGATACGACATGTTGAAGTGAATAAAATAGCCAAACTTATAATTTACCACCCTGAAAACTTAACCGAACAGATCTTGAAACATATCAACTGAAAATGTGAGCAGGAATTATCTAAAGTAGCATGAACATGAATTACTTGACAGCTAAAACATAAACAATAAAGGATAGAAAATGTAAAGGTCACTAAGTGATCGAATACCTTTCATTTTTAGTCCATGACATATGATATGATACTAAGGGTACTTAATGTTAGTACACTAATAAAAATCATTTCCAGCAATTCAGAACGTCATTAAACGAGTCTACTTACAAAGTAGTATCTGTAGTAACATGACCCTTTTCTTGTAGTCTTAGAATTTTTTTTTAGCTTTGAATATGAATCTATGAGTAAATCTCCCCCTTCCTCCTTGGAGTTCTCAATCATTCAACCTAAACAGTTTAGTACACATGAACGACGATGTGATCTCTTAGGAAGTGAATCAGGCGTTTTCATTAGAGAAATTAATAATGCAATATAGATGATAAACATTTAATACCACATTGATGAAAGTATTCGAGTTAGTTATGTGATCGTATTAGCTTTGGTTGTCTACTTGTGTAGTAAAAATGAATGGATGAAAAGAAGATGATAGGTATTCAGTATGAGAGGCGAAATAGATCAAAATCCATAAACTTTAGGGATTTTACTCGTGATAAGTAATAAAAAAAGGCTATTTTTAGTTGCACAAAAGTATGTTGCATCGTTAAAAAAGAGTTACCTAGATGAGAAGTTGTATTCGAAACTTCATCGATAGAATTTAGACTTTGTTGAATGACTGACTAGTGTACTTGATTCAGGTTTTAAGTTACTCTCAATGAAAAACAACCAGTAAAAATATGTTGCCGGGCTTTCTTATTCAGTGATATAGATTCGAATGATCAGTTTTTTTTAAGTTGTACATGTATCTTACTGATCAATGCTAACAAACAAAATTTAGATTTAAAACTTTCTGGTAACTGGTTTCAATAAATGAATACTCATTGCAATCTAACAGGACGAGTTATCCGTTTCAACAGACACGTGAAAATATCTCAAATCGTGAATCGTTCAATGTTGATTGAAGTTAGATGTGAGCACCGTTATATGCCGACTCAGTAGTCAAGATGTTAAGCATTCCCGCGTGAGACCGAAGGTCTTGGGTTTGATTCTCTCTTGCAGACTCGTGGATGTACACAGTTGATGAGTCCTATACTAAGACAAAACGGTTGTTCGGTGCTCTCAGCTTTCCAATGGTGGTCTAGCACTGATTGTATCCTGATTTCAATGATCTGCAAAAAATCAGGCAACTCTAATATATGAACAATACAACACTGGTTAGCTTTAAATAAACGTTTGATGTTTCAATATCTTTTCTGAGTAAAAGAGAACTGACCTCAATTTCTTTGGTACGTACAAACTCGTCGGTATTTGCATATGCTTCACGTAGGCGTTGTTCCAATACTTTCCTCCTTTGTATAGCTGACAAACATTTATTGTGAATAGTTTTCTCAATTTCACTTATCGAGTCTTCAGTCATTGCTGAAGTATGTGTCATCTCTCGTTTATTACTTTTACCAGAAACCTTTGTTTTCATATTTCCAAGAGGATTATGTATGGATTTAGATGAAGTATTAGATGAATTCCCGAGACCTTGAACATTCTTTTGTTCGGAAGGTAAGTTCGGAAAACTACACGTACGAAAAACAAAAACGTCACAGTAAAGTGCAATGAAATAATAAGTAGAAAACAATAACATCTGGTGGTTATTAAGTAGAAAGAATCTTTAAAGTTTGCTAACTGCAACTGACATTCGTACTCAATATGAATGAACACTGGTTTCAGTGATAGTTTGTTACGAACACCATCAGTTGAAATAAATACTTTGAAAGTAAAAGTAATATGACAAACTGAAGCATTTATTTTTTAATACATACATTAAGTGCATGTCAGAGGTCCAGAGAACAAACAACCAAAACATCCAGCTCAAAGAACGAAACACCAACATAATCATCCACCTGAGCTAGAAATTTTCTTCACCATCACAAAATATTCTGTTTGACCATATTTATAAGAAGGTTTACAATGACTGCATGCTCCAAATAGTAAGTCAGTCAGTCAGTTGCAACGTAGAACTTCGTTCGTAAGTACATCAGATCATGTCGCCATACCACATCAGCACAGAGATATAGTTGTCAATTCAAATCCAATAGTAGAAGAGGTAGTAAGGGTATTAGAAGTAATCGGAGAGGTTAGGATTAGAAGATATTATTCAAGAAGTATGATTCAGTGGGAAAAGTTTACAAAGTTGAAGAATCCAGAAGATTAGGATTTGAGAGAACACAAAGAATAAATGCACTGGCGCCATTGTGAACGATTTTGAGCCATGTCATTCAACGTCTCTAACAATCGATTATTATCATCTCGCGGACCCCAACCAGGTAGTCGACAATTACCGACATGGATCAGTCCACTCGTCAAGGACTTCATGGATTTCTGCCATGTTATGGTTTGGCCGCCCCTAACTTTCTTCCAACCTATTCCTACACTACAAAACAAAGCTCGACGAGGCAGTCGGTGGTTAGGCATACGCAACACATGTCCCAACCACCTCAACTGATGAGGTTTCACCACTTCATCTATTGATCTGCCATTCTTACCTAGCAGCCGATTCCTAATAACAGCGTTGCTGACTCGGGTGTCCCACGATATACGAGCAATGCTTCGAAGACACCTATGATCGAAAACCAATAACCTACGAATATCTTCTACTCTCATTGGCCATGTCTCACAGCCATAAAGTCAGACGGAGTGAACTGCTGCGCAGTACACTCGTCCTTTAGTCAGCAAACAGATATCTCGCCTACGCCATAAGTGACGCAGGTTGGCAAAAGCCAATCGAGCCTTCTGTATCTGTGCTGAGATTTCGTCAGTCACCAGGCCATCGGCACTGATGAGACTCCCCAGATAAGTGAAGTGATCAACACGCTCGACTACTTTACTGCCTATCGCTAGTTCAGGTGCCGATGCAACCCAATCTTGAAGCAACATTTTTTATTTCGAGGGGGAAAACCGCATCCCGAACATGCTTGCATTGTTGCTTAGGGTAGTCAGAAGACTCTGCATTTTGTCAGCGTCTTCACCAAGTAGGACTATGTCATCGGCATATCCTAAGTCAATAAGCGAGCCACCTGGTAGAAGGTCTACTCCAGAAAATTCAGACGAGGATAAGGTTATTTCTAGGAGCATGTCTATGATAAAATTAAACAAAAATGGAGAAAGTGGAGATCCCTGACGGACACCACTAGAAGTGAAGAATTCCGGTGACAGTTCGTCATAAGGTCTCACTCGACCAGTGGTGTTCGAGTAGAGAGCTTGTATGAGGTTAATGTACTTCTTTGGTACACCTTTCAATGCCAGACACTGCCACAGAACCTCACGATCCACTGAGTCAAATGCCGCTTTTAGGTCCAGGGGAACAACTATTGTAGGACGCCTAAATGTGTGTCTATGTTCCAGGACCTGTCTGAGTGTGAAGATGTGGTCTAAACAGCCACGTCCAGGTCGAAAACCAGCCTGGTTTTCTCGAGTCTGCTCTTCACGAGCTTTCGTTAAGCGTCGAAGTATTATTGAGGTTAATATTTTAGATACTATATTAGTTAGACTTATTCCCCTGTGATTGTCACAAGAAGACTTTTGTCCTTTCTTATAGATTGGGACAATCAGTAATTGAGACCAGTCGGATGGGATTACGTCCAGTTCCCAGATTCTACCTAAGATCTCAGTCAACCTAGCATGCTCCAAATAAATCAGGTGGTATCTGTGTCACTCAACTTTCAACTAACGAATGATGAGTCTTAACTTAGTTCAACCTCTCAAACAAAGAGTTCAGTTCACGTTTCAGTATACAACCTTGTACAGATGAGTGATTGTACAAGCGAATAACAGATTGTACAAGGATTATGTAAACAAGTTATGAAGTTCATTGTGAATAAATGATTCCGGATACATATACTTTTTAAAACATAGTGGCCATTTTACTCATACGAATACTTTTTGAGAAGAATTAGAACAAACAATTTACTGATTATTATATGAATCATTTTGGGCAATTCAGTGTCCATGATATTAATAACATTTACAGAAAGCCAAGCCAAGTCCGTGACTCTAAGTTGTAAATATATTATTTGACAGATGGCTTGAAAAAGATAACCATCGGTAAATATTATATACATAAGTCTGTTGTAGAAAATAACTAATAAAAGCACACATCGTTCATACGTCACAATTAAGTTCTGTATTATTACTAAGATAAAAAGAAATCTTAAAACACTTCATTTTCAGAAATAGAAATGTAAGTGGAAGTTGATGAGTCTGCTAAATGAAAGCAATATCCCAGTTCCTATTGGCTTCTAATAACTTCAGACTAAATCTACATTGCAACTTGAACACAAGAGAAAAGGTGCAAGGTACAAAAACACTTTACTCCAAGGTTAGTTTATGTACAGAAAAAATGATGGAATTTATAGTTATCGATGACCTTGGGCTTTGGAAGGTTCGAGAAGCACGCTAAATATAGTGGCGGTATGACTAAATATCCTATCAGAATTGTAAGGAGTGATTTACCACTTTCTACATGTTTCTGCAAAGGTTTTATTCACTACTGATTGGATGGAACGTATCCTGGTGTTTCTGAGATATTTCGTGGCACCTCAACAGAAGTATGGACAGACTGTTGTTTGGACGAACGGTTTTAAATTACCAAGTTTTACACTACGTTTCACTTCGGTTTATGCAACGAGGTAGTTTTTAATTCCGACAAAATAAATATGAGTTCATATCAAGTACGGAATCCTTATGTGATACAAGTGGCAAATTCTTCACTGAAGGATAATTCATTACTTTTTTACAATGATATCTTTGTTTTATTCTATATCAATAGGCTTATTATCGTCAATGTTTAATATCAAAGAGAAATTAGGCTGTGGGGTCCATTTATCTGCGTGTTCGGATAGCGCCTGACGGTTTATAAATCAGAAGGCGAATTCGAAGTATGAATACGTTTATATTTTGGACACACCACATAGCGAAGTTGAAAAGCAGCGAAAGAATGAGCGAAGGAAGCGAACGAATAGGCGAAGCGTATTGTAGAAGGCTAAGAGCCAACTTCAAGAGATAGAACATGACTAAGAATATATAGTCAGACAAATATAAGACACACATGCAACAAGCGAAATAGGCACACATGAATAAAAGCGACGAATGATTGACAAGGTCAAATGACAGATCATGTGAGCTCCTCATACAAACCAGACAATAATAATAAGAACGGATGGTACATATAAATTGTTGCAATACAAATGGCTTGGTTAAATAAATTAATCGAAAGGGCCTAACCAAGTTAGATGTAAGCGAACTGGAATATATGTAGAGGCACTACAAGGCCATCAATCAGTACAAACTGAAAACACTTAAATAAGAGAGAACCATTACTTAGATATGGTAGAATCAAGAACAGTAAAAATAACAACTAGTCTATAACTTACTTGTTAGGTAGAATATCCGAGTTTCTCGTTTTCTACAAAAAAGAAGTACAAAATAATAACTTACAGAAAAATAATTAGGCTAGGATTTATATTTAAGAATGTTTAAATACTGATCAAGTTATTAGGATAATGCCACATAAAAATATCATAAACAGATTACAATGTTGCTATAATATTGTGGATATATAAGCAAAAAATAGCATACATAAGAAATTATTGCGATTTCTATACATCTACTTACTACTTATTCTTGGAATAAATAAACAGTTGATAGGAATGAACTTTATTATTAAAGTTACAAGATTAACTTGATACAGAAAAATTTTAAAACTGATCTACAGTTGAATACCAGATTCTAGTGGAGGAGGAAATCAGGAGGAAGCGGTGGAAGTCGATCGGATACACACTATGAAAAGCACCTAACTGCGTCACGAGACAAGCCCTCACATGGAACCCTCAAGGCAAAAGAAAAAGAGGAAGGCCAAGGAACACACTACGCCGAGAAATAGAGAAAGATATGATAACAATGAGCAAACATTGGACAGAACTGGAGAGGGAAGCCCAGGACAGAGTTGGTTGGAGAAAACTGGTGGGCGGCCTATGCTCCATTGGGGGTAACAGGCGTAAGTAAGTAAGTAAGTAAGTAAGTACAGTTGAATATTGCAAGTGAAATATAAGTGGTATATATGCCTTAACCAATAAACATACTAATTGTGACTTTATGAATTAATGATCTGATTTAAACGAATCAACTGAAAAGTTCAAATACTTAAAAAGCTGAAATTTTTAAATGGTGTGTATGTCATCTTTTAGTTAGTGAAGCTAAGCTGATGATGACACGATAACATGAATATTCTATATCCAATGTAAGATTCAAATATGTATCAAATCTTCTGAATTCCTCATGACCGTCTTTTCTTTTTTTTAAAAAATTGATTCCTCTGGGGCATACATCTCGAATGATATATATTCGATCATTAATCTTTTTGATTACTGTTAATGCTTCTACTACCTCTATTACCATGGGATTAGAATTGACAATTGCATCTCTGTGCTAATGTGGTATGACAACTTGAACTGAAGTACGTACGTACGAAGTTCTAAGTTGCAACTGACTGAGTCAACTTCCTTAATTATAAAAAACATATAAATGTAGATAAACACTTAGTGAAAACTTGGCAAAAATTAAATGGATTTAATTTCTCATAGAAGAGAAGAAGATAAGTTAATATTCAGTTAGTCAGTCAGTCAGCTACAACGTACAACTTCGTGCGTACATTCATCAGTTCAAGTTGTCATACCATATTAGGAGAGAGAGATGTAATTGTCAAATCAAATCCCACAGTGGTAGAGGTAGTAGCAGTATTAGCGGTAGTCAAAACGATTAGGGATTGAAGATATCATTCGAGAACTATACGCCAGTGAATTAAATTTAGGTAGAGACACAACGTCATGAGGAATTAAGATTAGAATTTAAGAGAAAACAAATAACGGATACATCTGAGCCATTGTAAACGATTTTGAGCCATGTCATTCAAAGTAAATAATAATGTAGATGGACGAATAGTCAATAGATAAGATGTTTGGAATTTAAAAGGAATTAAACAGTGAATAAATTTTATGGTCTTGTAACTGATTCCGAATCAGGTCAATTGAAATTTCACACTGATAAATGTTTAACATTTCAGGAACTCTATTTAGATCATTTAAACTTCTATTTAGGAATTAACGTTATGCGTTGGAATAGATATGCTTAGTTTTCGTAACTTGATACCGCAGCAATGTTCAGTACACAAGAATTAATAACCAATTTTTCGTTAACCTTAGTTAGCTTGTTTTTATCCCATTTTGAGTTTGTTTGAGGTAAAAAGACATTTTTCGGAGCCGGAAAACCCGTAAACTATTAAACCTGAAAGTTATTAGTTAAAAAAAAATGTACACACAAATTAAATAAGGTTCTTTCGAATAGATACAACCGTCCAACTATATGACCAAAACTTAACTTTGTGAGGTTTTAATAAAAGGCTAAAAATAGTATAATTATATGCTATTCAGAAACAGTACGTCATATTTTCGAATAAAAGGCATACCTTCAACATAACTTACATTGTTAGCAATCGAGATTTTCGCCATCTTCGACGGAGGCCCAGGAAGTGAATTCCTTTTCAAATTTCTGGTTCATCAAAATATAAATAGAATAGAATTTCATAACTTTTAGGTATGAAGCCTCTAACAAGCAATGCATACCAAAAATTATAATTCAAAGGAATAACTTATTTCAGTATCATTTTAATGAACCCCGTTTAACAAGTATAGATATAATTGGCTTTGAGTAATATTGTTATTGTGATGGCTAGTGAAGATACTTGGTCGGATTTGACCTATTGATCAAAACCTGAATGTCATAAATATTGAGCCACTTCAACCGCTTACTGAACTAGCTATTGATGTTCACAATTCAAACTCAATCAGTTTCAATTTTGTGTTGGGATATTCGAACATTTTTTTCAGGATTATAATTGATGTTATTACTAGGTTGTTCAAACAACAACCAATCACCTACGGAGAAGTATTATTTACAACGATCGGTTGGTTAGCAGTTAGTATTAGCAATTAATATCATCCTGATAAGTCCTGAAGTTAACTGACCAAATAGTGATACGGACACGAAACTAGATGATGTGACATTATAGCGTACTTTAGTTTACCAATAACTAGCACAAGATTCTTATGAAAAGTGTTAAAGAAATCTCAACTCCTAATTTTACTAAAGATTATAATTATATGTACATGGCTACCATCCGGCTTTAGTATTTTCTACTTCCGAACTTTTTTCCACAGGTATAATCTAGCAGCCAATGATCTCTAGTTATCAACCTAACTGTCGACAAGTTGGTGTTAGCTAAATAAACCAAACTAAGTGAAGCCACCTTCATAAATTCATCTAGAAAATAAAAGCTCGCTTATTGACTTAGAATATGCCGATGACATAGTCCTACTTGGTGAAGATGCTGACAAAATACAGCGTCTTCTGACTACCATAAGCAACAATGCTACCACGTTCGGGATGCGGTTTTCCCCCTCGAAATAAAAAATGTTGCTTCAAGATTGGGTTGCATCGGCACCTGAACTAGTGATAGGGAGTAAAGTAGTCGAGTGTGTTGATCACTTCACTTATCTGGGGAGTCTCATCAGTGCCGATGGCCTGGTGACTGACGAAATCTCAGCACAGATACAGAAGGCTCGATTGGCTTTTGCCAACCTGCGTCACTTATGGCGTAGGCGAGATATCCGTTCGCTAACCAAAGGACGGGTGTACTGCGCAACAGTTCACTCCGTCTTACTTTATGGCTGTGAAACATGGCCAATGAGAGTAGAAGATATTCGTCGGTTACTGGTTTTCGATCATAGGTGTCTTCGAAGCATTGCTCGTATATCGTGGGACACCCGAGTCAGCAACGCTGTTATTAGGAATCGGCTGCTAGGTAAGAATGGCAGATCATTAGATGAAGTAATGAAACCTCATCAGTTGAGGTGGTTGGGACATGTGTTGTGTATGCCCAACCACCGACTGCCTCGTCGAGCTTTGTTTTGTAGTGTAGGAATAGGTTGGAAGAAAGTTAGGGGCGGCCAAACCAAAACATGGCAGAAATCCATGAAGTCATCGACGAGTGGACTGATCCATGTCGGTAATTGTCGACTACCTGGTTGGGGTCCGCGAGATGATAATAATCGATTGTTAGAGACCTTGAATGACATGGCTCAAAATCGTTCGCAATGGCGCCAGTGCATTTATTCTTTGTGTTCTCTCAAATCCTAATCTTCTGGATTCTTCAACTTTGTAAACTTTTCCCACTGAATCATACTTCTTGAATAATATCTTCTAATCCTAACCTCTCCGATTACTTCTAATACCTTTACTACCTCTTCTACTATTGGATTTGAATTGACAATTACATCTCTGTGCTGATGTGGTATGGCGACATGAACTGATGTACTTACGAACGAAGTTCTACGTTGCATCTGACTGACTGACTGACTGACTAGAAAATAAAATCTACTCTAGTCTGTAATTTGAAATACTCAATGCTTTCTTTATATAGCCTATGTCATGGAGATGCAAAGAAGTAATGATATTACACGTAATATAGAAGCGCTATTGTTTAATCTTAAATAATATATATGACTAGCAATTTTCAATTACTGAGTGTAAGTACATAATTACAATTGTCTAAGAAGTAATGCTAGCACATAAGAACTATTAAAAGAAGTTTTGAAAAAAGTCAGTTGATAAAAGTAGACGACTGAGGAGAACAGCATTTCAACCACGATATGTTAAGATAGCACTCACCCCGAAACGTGATGCTGAGTGCTTTCTGCACATATGTAGAACGGAGAAAAATCTTTAAAAACATAGAAACGGTAATGAATTCATTAACTATTGAACTAATTTGTGCGAAGTGTGATTCCAGATTAAAGTCATTAAAATGCTAAAAAAAACCAATAACTGAAACTGAGTTCATAAACACTGATATTTTACTTTTCTTTTAATCTTGAACATTTTACTAGCCTAAACCGATATTTTCCTTTTTCATTAACTATTCGCTTATTTTTACATTTTTATACCTACTGCTTTAAAGAATGACAGCCTAATCTACATTTCCATCATGTTATACAATGTTGTCTATCAAACTACTGAACAATAACAAAACTCTTATAAATATTATAAGAAACTTGGAACCATACGTGTACGTATTAAAATAAGCAAAATTTTCGAACTGATAAAAAACTTAACATACTTTTTAGCCTTTGTATTACGTTCATCTTTAATTAACATAGCCGATTTCAACTGATAGTCAAGAGCCTTAATTCTGAAATAAATAATTATCGTGGTCGAATTTTTTTCGGGGACTTACTTTTGTTGGCGACTGTTTTCCACTTCCTTGACAAGATTTTCACGTGCTTTGACGAAGCTGTCATCCGTTGCTTTAGTTCGATATCTATACTGGATATTTTGTAGATATTTTCCACTGGCATAAATCAAAGGAAAGAATGAAACTACTTAAATATGTATTTATAGTTGGTAGTTCGAAAACACTTGAAAGATATTGAAACATACAAACCGACTGAATAAAACCAGAAAACAATGTTCTCATGACGGTTTCTTTTATCTCTTTTTTAATTTTATATCATTGGATTATACTTCTTAAATAATATTTTCGAAGCATAATCTTATCTATTACCCATAATACTTCTACTACCTATACTACTATAGGATTTGAATTGATAATTCGACCTCTCTGTGCTAATATGGTATGGCAACTTGAAATGACGTACGTAGGTACAAAGTTTTACATTGTAGCTGACTGACTGACTGAAAGTGTCCATAGAAGCATACTTGCGGTCTATGAATTCATTTTCTTGGAGAAATTTACTCGTAATATAAACTTAGCACTGCCACAATAGCCACGACAGTCGTAACACTATCTAGTGAAGCAGATCAAAATGTCGCTTTGCTAAAGAACATCACATCTCAGCAAGATTTAATCTTTGACTATTTTCTTACCAAAGGATAAAAAAGTAATTAAAGCAAATGATAATCTTAATCCATAACCAGGAATTCATCAGATAAGGAGGTAAAATTCGAAAAATACTCCGTCAAACACACGAAAGTAAGCTACAATACACATCTGGTATAGCAGATGCTGTGAACCAAACGTATTTTCCACAAAATGCCGGAATCGATCGGATAATGAAGTATTATAGACGTGAAAAAACTAGAGGAAAAAATACTTTAGTGATGAAGTTACATTGATTGACAGCCAAAATAACATTAATGTTCTATCTCTACAAGTGAGTAAATGTACTCTATTCGTTATTTTTTGTTGATTTCTAAGGCTATTGAAAAATGTATGAATAGAGGCATTCGTTATTTATTTAAAAATATAAACATTGGTAAAAAAGAAACCTAAGTATTTACGCACCATAGAAGTTATTGAATTGTGTGTGGACTGCAATAGTGTTCGGGTGCCCAAACCGAGCCAGGTGGTTTTCTCAGGTGGTCATCCCCCCGCGACTCTCCGACCTAGAGGTAAACTCACAAGGCAATGGGGGCAACATTAAAAGATGCAGTCTTATGGTGACCTGTGACCAACGATTGGTTCACACTCTGCTTGTTCCTACAGGATCCATTAGCTTATGTGTACCACTGGTTTGGGATCAGAGCTTTCCAACTTTCCTACATGGATCCTCCGTACCCACTTATCCGATTTAAGCACATGATATTCGCTTTTCGTCATCTAGATTTCCCAAACGTCTCCGTCACGAAAAGGCAGGGGGTAAGATTTCTCTGTCAACTGCTATATATTCGCAGGCATATAAGAGTATTTCGAGAAGGGAAACGGACTCTCCCTATCCTCGGCCGCACAAGGACATTTTGGAGCGACTAAAAGTTAAGCTTAAAGGTCAAAGTAAGTCCTTTTTCCCACTGATCATTAACACTAAACTAAGTGGTTTTCTGTGTTATGTCACTTTGAAAATCGCTCAAACGTCAGCTACAGTTACATCAGGTTACAAAATACTTGCAAACTGTACTATACCGACAGCATTAGCGGATCAATCAAAACTAAGCTAACCGACTTAAAATACCGTTGAGAATAGCTTGTTGTCGAGATTCATGATTTCTATTATATCACGTATTCTGGAAGGATTAGATACTTTTTTGTGGAATAAATCGTTAAGGCTGGTATGTTAGAGTTAGGAATTAGGGTCAAAATATTTAAGGGTTAAGGTTTTTTGAAGATGCAGAATTAGGGTTTATCTGGGTTAAAGAACCGTAATATCCAGACTGAGATATTGATATTTAGCACTAAGTTTATTAATGGCTTAAAAACTCCTAGTCCTCTGTATTTCTACCACTTTTCTACGTTTTAGAGGTCTTACATAAAAGCTAGAATCTGGTTTTCTAGTTTCCATTAAATAGCCTCAAAGCAACTCACAAATTCGCTGAAATTCAACAGTATAATATAGTTATGACTCAATTTCGACAACCAGAAATATCAATGAATGAAAATGCAGTTAACATACATTTACCATAGAATTTCATGCAGCAATAATAAGTAAAAATCAACAACTTTTATCGTGACCATTTACTGGAATATTTACTTGTTGACTTATATATTCGGGATTCGATTTTCCCTCTCGAAATGTAAAACGTCGCTGCAGGATTTGGCAAGCAGATGAGCGTGTTGACCGCTTCATTCATCTTGGGAGTCTCGTCAGTGCTGGTGGCCTAGTATGTGATGATATCTCACCATAGGTACAGAAGGCTCGACTAGCTTTTGCCAACTTACGTCACTTATGACATAGGAGAGATGTCCGTATGCTAACCAAAGGACGAGTCTACTGCGCATCAGTTCGCTCCGTCATACTCTATGAGCATGAAACATGGCCAGTAAGATTAGAGGATGTTCGTAGGTTACTAGCATCCAATTATAGGAGTAGACTACCTGGTTTAGGTCCACGAGATGATAATAATAATTAGTTATAGACCTTGAATGACATGACTCAAAATCGCTCACAATGACGCAGGTGCATCCACTCTTTGTGCTCTCTTAAATCCTAACCTTCTGAATTCCTCATTACCTTTAGATTTCTCTCCTTAAATGTATCTAACCGAATAATACTCCTTCAATGAGTTCTTCGAACCCTAATCTTTCCGATTACTGCTTATAATTTCACTACCTCTACCACTGTGGGATTTGAACTGAAGATTGCATCTGTGAGCTATTGTGGAGTGACAACTTAGACTGATGTACGTACGTACGAAGTTCTACGTTGTGGCTGACTAGACGAATGGTTAAAAGGCTAATGGTTGAAACACCAAAATACTGCGACACTATTGAGTAAGTCTTTTAATGTAAGACGGTGGGTTTGTATATGGTGGTAAAGGTCAGAAAAAACTGACCAGATTTTGAAATCCAGGAACTAACTGAGAAAACGTTTTCCTTACTTACAATATAGCAGTCATTTTGGTTACTAAAGAGTTTAGTTGTATATCAATGGTTAATAGCTAAGACAAGTTTGAATCTGGTAGCTAAAAGATATTTAGAAACTTCAAGGAAAATATCAACTTACACTGATTTTCTAACATTGACGAGCGAGAAATATACCGTACCATGATCAGGCTCCAGTTCGAAAACAGAATCTGATCCTGATATAGTAACTACAATCCTCTAAGGAAAACAATGAGTTGACAAAATATGCCGAATCGGCAGTTAATCAGTCAAAACAAACTAATATAAAAAAATGACACAAAAGATTTTGGCTTTCGATTACAACAAGTATTGGGTTCGTGGCAGGTCACACCCTTTGTTTTCACTTAAGTTGATGTAAGACAAAATAAATGACTAACAGAAGAAATACTTCGTTTTCGACTTCATTTTAGATAAACAGGACTTGAAGTGGATCAGTGAAGCTATTAACGCTTTTTCATGAACAAGGCTAGTTAGAGTGTAATATATGGCATTAATTGGCGGATTCATTTTCATGGAGTATTTAACCTTTGGTCCACAATGGAGTCAGAGCCCAGGACACTACGTCTAAGACATATTTGGATAGCTTGAATATATATGGCTTCGCGAAATTATGCCGGAGATATATCAATGAAGCATGTTAATTGTTTGCATACTTAAATAAACTTAGTACGAAAAAGATAATATTCAATTAAAGGATGAAGTAGAAAGTGGGGTAGATGAGAAAATAACAGAACCGAAATAAATAACCATAAAAAATGAGTGGTCAGCAACAAATTACTATGCCTTATCAGTCTTTTAAATTGATAAATAACCAGTAAAAGTATCTTAAAATGACAACAGGGGAAAGACATTACAGCTTACCGGATTTTGTTGGGGTTCACAAATAAGTGCGATTTTACCACCCTTAAGTAGTAATAAAATATAAGAGAGTTTTTACCTTTTGTTTCACATTTTCCAGACAGCACAGAAGACTCTCAGTCAACTTCAGATGGATAAACTCGCAATTATTACTCCGCATCGCTGTAATTCAAATACGTCGTGACATAAAAACGTACAATCTCCAACATCTGAAACTCAATTTCAGTTTGCGAAGGTCATGAAACTGATTGTCCTAAGGTAGTCCTAACAGAGGTGATCTCTCAAGCGACATAATTTTATTTCGAATGCATCGGCAGTTGGAGTTTCAGTCACTTATTTGGAGAACGAGTTCCATTCGTCGATGATTCGATGACAGTGCCAGTAATCAGTTGACAAGTAGTTTGTTCTTCGATTGTGGTGGGTCCGTATGTACTGAAGGGAGGGGAATCCCTGAGCTTCATCGTAACTGTTTTCTACCAGTGATTTCCCTTATTGCCTTTATGCTCCTTACTCGCTTAGTCCTTTGGTTTATTTAGATAAAAAGGAATACTAACCAGAACAAATAATTCAAACCGTTTTAACTCTGCCCTGGCACTTAGAAGAGGAATTATGACGTAGCATGGTGAAATCCGGGTTCTCTCGGAAGTCACGGGGCCGATGCACCTTCTGACAACCAGAGCAACTATTCTTTTAGGTACATGGAATTTCGAACATTGTGGGAGACTAGAAGACTGTTCCAAGATGCTGCAGAAATGAAAATATACAACCTGGAGGTGCTTGAAATCAGTGGAAATCATTGGACGCAGGTTGAACAACTAAGACTAGCTTCAGAAGAGCAGCTTTTTTAGTCCGGCAATGAAGAAGTAAATGACCCACACACAAAAAGAGTTACACTGATGCTATCCTAACAATTAAAAAAAACAATCGATAGGATAGGAATCTCATGGAATCATGATCACCAAAGCATCTGCAAAGGTTTAATACTGCCTTTCTTTGGGATACCGTAAAACTCAACGAATTCAATATAGCCCTCACCAATAGGTTACAGGCCTTTCAGGATCTACTCAATGGAGAGGAAGCAACATTGGAGTACAATTGGAAAGGGATTAAGGAGGCAATCACTTCAACATGTCAGGAGGTCCTTGGTCGCAAGAAGCACCATCACAAGGAATGGATCTCTGTTGATACTCTTGCAAAAATTGAAGAAAGGAGGAACCAGAAGGCAGCAGTGAATGTCAGCCGAACAAGAGCAGAGAAAGTTAAGGCACATGCTGAATACACGAAGCAAACAGGAAAGTGAAGAAGAGCATCAGAGCCGATAAACGAAAATATGTGGAAGATCTAGCAATGACGGCGGAACA